CTGGCTGCCCTTAACATTTTTTCCTTCATTTCAACCTTGGTGAATCTGACAATTATGTGTCTTCAGGTTGCTCTTCTTGAGGAGTATCTATGGGTGTTCTCTGTATTTCCTGAATTTGAATGTTGGCCTGCCTTGCTAGGCTGGGAAAGTTCTCCTGGATAATATCCTGAAGAGTGTTTTCCAATTTGGTTTCATTCTCCCTGTCACTTTCAGGAACACTGATTAAATGTAGATTTAGTATTTTCACATAGTCCTATATTTCTTGGAGGCTTTGTTCATTTCTTTTCACTCTTTTTTCTCTAATCTTGTCTTCTTGCTTTATTTCATCAGTTTGATCTTCAATCACTGATATCCTTTCTTCCACTTGATTGAATCAGCTGTTGAAGCTTGTGCATGCATCATGAAGTTCTCATGCTGTGATTTTCAGCTCCATCAAGTCATTTAAGGTCTTCTTTACACTGTTTCTTCTAGTTAGCCATTTGTCTAACCTTTTTTCAAGGATTTTAGCTTCCTTGCAATGGGTTAGAACATGCTCCTTTAGCTTGGAGAAGTTTGTTACTACTGACTTTCTGAAGCCTACTTCTGTCAACCTGTCAAACTCGTTCTCTGTCAAGTTTTGTTCCGTTGCTGCTGAGGAGCTGTGATCCTTTGGAGGAGAAGAGGTGCTTTGGTTTTTGGAATTTTCAGCTTTTCTGTCTCGTTTCTCTCCATCTTTGTGGTTTTATCTACCTTTGGTCTTTGATGTTGGTGACCTACAGATGGGGTTTTGGTGTGGATGTGCTTTTTGTTGATGTTGATGCTATTTCTTTCCATTTGTTAGTTTTCCTTCTAAGAGTTGGGCCCCTTAGCTGCAGGTCTGTTGGAGTTTGCTGGAGGTCTACTCCACACCCTGTTTGCCTGGGTATCACCAACGGAGGCTGTAGAACAGCACATATTGCTGATCTTGCTGCCTGATCCTTCCTTTGGAAGCTTCATCCCAGAGGGGCCCCCTGCCTGTATGAGGTGTCTGTCAGCCCCTACTGGGAGGTGTCTCCCAGTCAGGCTACACAGGGGTCAGGGACCCACTTGAGGAAGCAGCCTGTCTGTTCTTACAGCTCGAATGCCATGCTGGGAGAACTACTGCTCTCTTCAGAGCTGTCAGACAGGGATGTCTAGGTCTGCCGAAGCTGTCTGCTGCCTTTTGTTCTGATATGCCCTGCCCACAGAGGTGGAATCTAGAGAGGCAGTAGGCCTTGCTGAGATGTGGTGGGCTCTGCCCAGTTCGAGCTTCCTGTCCTCTTTGATTACACTGTGAGCACAAAACCACCTACTTAAGCCTCGGCAATGGCGACACCCCTCCCCCTGCCGAGCTGCAGCATTGCAGGTGGATCTCATACTGCTGCACTAGCAGTGAGCAAGGCTCCGTGGGTGTGAGACCTGCCAAGCCAGGCATTGGAGGGAATTTCCTGGTTCTGCCAGTTGTGAAGACCATGGGAAAAGTGCAGTATTTGAGCAGAAGTGTACTGTTCCTTCAGGTGCAGACTGTCACAACTTCCCTTGGCTAGGAAAGGGAAATCCCCCAACCCTTTGCGCTTCCCGGGTGAGGTGATGCCCCACCCTGCTTTGGCTTGCCCTCTGTGGGCTGCACCCACTGTCCAACCAGTCCCAGTGAGATGAACCAGGTACCTCAGTTGGAAATGCAGAAATCACCCGTCTTCTGCCTCAGTCTTGCTGGGAGCTGCAGACCAGACCTGTTCCTATTCCGCCATCTTGGAAGCCTCCCTAACTGGCAAACTCTTAACCCTTCAGGGCTCAGCTGAGATGTTGCCACTTCAAGGAAGTCTTTTTTTTTTTTTTTTTTTTGAGACAGGGTCTCACTCTGTCGCCCACACTTGAGTGCAGTGGCCCAATCTCAGCTCACTGAAACCTCCGCTTCCCTCCCAAGCTCAAGCGATTCTCCTGCCTCAGTCTCCCAAGTAGCTGGGATTACAGCCGTGCACCACCACGCCCTGCTAATTTTTGTATTTTTAGTAAAGACGGGGGTTCACCATGTTGGCCAGGGTGGTCTCAAACTCCTGACCTCAAATGATCCACCTGCCTTGGCTTCCCAAAATACTGGCATTACAGATGTGAGCCATTGCGCCCAGCCCAAGGAAGTCTTTAGAGACCTCCTCCCACCCTACACAGCACCCTTCCTCTGTAGTCTTACAGCACTCTTACTGACCCTTTCCCCCATTTCAACCCCTTTCATACTGTGATTAACTGGTTAATCATCAGCTTCCCTTGCTAGACTGCCCTCTGCAAGGGCATGCCACATTCATTACAATAGATCAAGCAGTTAGCCCTCTTGGGTACTGGCACATCGATCTCTGCAGCTCTCCTTCCTCATTGGCTGACAACAACAAAAACAACAACAACAACATCTTCTGATACTAACACCACACCATTGGTTAAAGCTTTCTATATGCTAGGAATTGTTCTATTCACATTGCTTGAATCTTGCCAATAACTCTATGAGTAGGTATCCTTATCCCCATCCTATGGTTGAGGAAACAATCTTGGAGAGGTTAAGCAAGTTGTTTTGTTTTGTTTTGTTTTGTTTTACTACTGGTCAATATTGGAGCTGAGGTTCAAACCCAGGAAGCTGACTCCTGGGTCAATGAAGCCCTTTTGGGAAGCACTTCACCTCTGGTATTGGCTTTGGGCTTTGATACACATTGTGCTTTACTGTTTTTTTAAACAATCAACGAGCTTTGCATAGGCAATTTGCCCTGATTCCCTATGCTCTCCTTCCTAAATGTGACTGTTGGTGTCTTGGTGGCCTAGAAGTGCCTCCAGCTCCCCACATGGATGTCCTGGGTTCAAAATGCATCTTCTTGGTTATACCAAACACACTCTCCCTCCTTATCACCTTTGCTCACGAAAGACACCCACAGCACCCTACAGTGAAAAATCAGCACTGTGGGGGAGAGGTATGTTCCGAGCAGTCGTTATGGCATCATAGCAGATCATGCATTCCTGAAGTTTCGGCTCTCTTGGCTTCATAGATTGAGAGCTGAGGCTCCTGATGGGATTCACCCCATCTGAATTAGAGAGCTGTGATGGAATAGGGCAAAAGGAGACATTCCATTACAAAGTCAAACCATGGTAAACAACCACAGCCAAAGGAGATAGAAGAAAGAAAGAAAGGAAAGGAAAGACAAAAAACAATTTTATACAGAAGGAGGATGGCAAGTTGCTGGAAGACAAACAGTTCTCCTACATCTTAAAATTCTAGAACAAAGATGTGACCAAGTTTCCTGAGTCTTTTATAGGAACTTTAGACTAGTATTTCCTGAGTTCAGCGTCCATAGGCAACTGAATGGATGTTAGGCAGGCAAGCACACCGCCAATTTTAGGTACATGTTTCAAAAGATTCATCAAATTTTTAGAAATAAAAAAGCATAATATCTTAAACTTATTAATCATTTTCATACCAGTAATGGGGAATATTATTTGAAGTTAATCCTTTACAGTTCTATATCTGGGTCTATTGGATATATCTGTTTCACAACAAGTCATTCTGAAGTGGTTTGCACACTTTTTATTTGTGTAGATCCTAATTCATAATTACAGGTGGTTACAAATGACAGCAAGTGTTTGGTGGCTATCTAAAATTATTCTGAGTATTTAGATAGAAGAGGACCCTAACATTATGTTGTGATTTCGTACAAAACACTTAGCTAGATGCTAAGTTGACAAACATACTTTATTCAGAGTATTGGATGTTTCAGCTCTGGAGATAGCAGCAAATGGATTCTGTTGTGGTTTGAACTACATCAACTTGCTTAGGCTGGAGTTACGTTTCCCAGAATCCCCTTCTCTGAGTGGTCTCAAGTTAGAATTGGTCCAGAGAATAATTTGCACAACATTTGCAAGGTAGAAGTGAAGCAGCCACCATTACTCTCTGAAGATTGTCAGGGTTGGATGTGACAGACAGATGCAGAGGGTGCTAGTGGGTTCCATTTATTCTTGCTGTCCTCCACTCTGTGGCCTGGTATTCCTCCCAGCTGATGACTTTGTTGACCTGCAGTGGTCTTGGCCCATCACAAGATGCATGGGGACTGTAATTAATTTATCATTGCATATCCAGTATATGGTGCAGATCCTGTCTTATCAGTATCTTAATTGTTCATTGAGTAAACACATGTACATGGTTTTATATGCATTGATTTTTGGCTACTCAGCATTGGGAAATAATAATACAACTTTCTGGAGAATCATCCCTGTCCCACATTTAGTCAATGTATGTTGGGTAAGGTTTATTTCACGCCTAGCTCCACTGACCACATGAGTTCAGCCAGGCCAATCAAGTTATTGCATTCCCTTGGCTACAGTGATTGGCTTGGGGATGGAACACTACTCAGCCTAAGCCAATAAGATGTGTTGAGTCTTTTGCTGTGACTGTCACAACAGAGGCACATGACCTTTTCTGCTGGACCTGAACCTGGGAGGATATAGGCCTGACTCTGTTGGCAGTCATTCTGGTGCCACACTGAGCCTGAGAATGAAGCCAACATTGTGAACAGCAAAGTAATGAGCAGAAACAAGACTGGGTTCTGATAATATTTGAGCCCCTGGATTGAGCTGTGCCTGAAGTCAATATCCCCTGGATTTCAATTATATGAACCAATAACCACCCTCCCCCTTATTTCTTCCCCTCAAACCACTATGGAGTGGGATTTCTGTGATGTGGAGCATAAAATCTCCACTCACACTGCATAGTTTTCAATTTCCCTTTAGGAGCAAAATACCTTTTTCAGATGAATGTTCACACAGCACCCCATTAACCAGCAAGGTTAATAGCAGAGCTCATGAGGACCAGGCCCTGCTCTCCTGCCCTCCATCCCCCAAGTTCTGAAGCCGTTCCTGATGCCTCTGTGGAACGCTGGTCTTGGCAGAACACAGTTAGAAAACCATTAATTTAACCCATGTCTCTTATTTTAAAGGTAAGAAAACTGGAGTTCAGAAAAGTGGGGGGACTGACTCAATCCCAGCTGCTGGCAGATCGGGGACTGCAAACCAGCCTTCCATTGCTCCACGCAGGTGTCTCTTCTCACGTGGAATCACAGCATTGGATGGACTGAAAAGAGGAAGAGGCTGCAATGGAGCAGCACACCTGCTGTGCGGGGATGCCTGGAAAACAGAATTAGGAGAGCCCTGGGTCAGCATTGCTCTGGCACTGGCTGGGCTGGGGGCTATCCTGATTCTAGAATTATCTTGGTTCGTGGGATAGAAATGTCCCCAAAGTGGAGAAGTTCAGTTCAATCCAACATCCTTATATTGCAATGAGGATAAAGACCACGGACCCTATGGCCTGTATGACCCAGCTGCCCATTTCTAGGAACCCATTCCTACAAAAATGACAACATGCGTGTGCAAACAGCAGCAATGACAAACATACCCTGGGATGCTTTCCCTGTGTGGTTTGTTGTAGTAAGATAGTGGCCACAGCTTATATATCATCAACAGAGGACTGGCTAAATGATGGCACTTGATTCTGCAGAATCTTTTGCTGTAGTCAAAAAGAACAAGTTAGATCTGTACGTATGAACATGGAAAGGTATCCATGACTTGTATTAAGTAGAAAAATTGCAGAATGATATTTATAGTATAACTTCATTCTTACAAAAACCGTTTTCCAAAACTGTGTGTGTAAAAGGGCTGGAAGGACACATCCACTGTCTTCATAGTGGTTACATCTGGGGAGGAGAGTTGGGGCTTGAGGCAGACTTTGGCCATTCAATTTGGATGGGGGCCAGAGACCCCCTCTCAGATCTGAGAATGCTGTACTTACTTTCCAGCCTCCTTTGCAGCACAGGCCATGACAAAGACTCTGTTAAATCACCTTGGGTGGGAGGGGACAGGGCGTTTCCTCTATCTGGCAGAGGGGCTGCAAGGTCAAATTCCTGACAGAAGCGGTGCTGTTTCCTGCTGTAGCGTGCAGTGGTTATGTACTGTAGTGCTTAACGGTGGCAGAGGCAGCTTCAAACACACCAGCACACTGGTCAACTTTGGGGTCTTACTCTTGGAAGCCTGGCCTGGTGCTTCCCTCTCACATTCTGTGAACCACCCCATATCCTTCTAGTAAACTCTTCTGCTTCATGGTTTGGAGTCAGCTGAGCTAGAGGGACTTCTGATTATGTTATACATGTCATCTGATACACAAATATATGCACACATTTTTTAACCAAACATATTTAAGAGAATACAGATGATCTAGCCTAAAGGAGCATGTAGTGCATAGAGGTGTGTGCCCCTGCCCTGCTTGGTATTTTATTTTATATTTTGAGGTGGAGTCTTGCTTTGTTGCCCAGGCTGGAGTGCAGTGGTGGGCTCTCGGCTCACTGCAACTGCCTCCTGGGTTCAAGTGATTCTCCTGTCTCAGTCTCCCAAGTAGCTGGGATTATAGGTGCATGCCACCATGTCCGGCTAATTTTTGTATTTTTAGTAGAGACGGGATTTCGCCATGTTGGCTAGGCTGGTCTCGAACTCCTGACCTCAGGTGATCCACCCACCTCGGCCTCCCAAAGTGCTAGGATTACAAGTGTGAGCTGCCATGCCTGGCTCCCTGCCCTGTTTTGAACCAGGGTTTTATTAAAGAGGTGAAGGTGCTGATCATTAAACAGCAACTACAGTGAACTTGGTTTGCAGTGAGACGTTTGCTCAGAAATGTTCTTTTCTTTTTAAATAAGCAACTTCCTGACCTGCAAGTTAGTCTTAGGCATGGCTCCCTCACTGGGAAAGTTGTGTCCTGTGCAGGCTGCTTTTCCCACTGTCCCTGTGCATCCGCCTGGGCCTTCTTCCTCTTGGTTCTTGGGTAGACTGACTCTGTCCTCTGAAAGCCTGGTCCTCTGAGGAGACTGAAGTTTGCATGTCACACAGAGCCAAGAGATCTGGCCCTGGATGAAACTAGGGGACAACTCCCAACAGCTGCTCAATTAGTGAGTTTCCTTTGTACTTCAACTTGGGTAAGCTGGGCTAATTAATAAATGGACTTGAGAATGACAAACCTTCATGGCCAAGGTCCAAAATGTCATGTTGGTGGAAGATGGCAAAAGTCTGGTGAGAGGGATGTCAGAAGTAAAAGGACTAGGTACCAGGAAATGAGGAATCAGGATAGCATTGTCCACAACTACTGGAGGTCCTTGTTGATTTATTTCTTTGCTTTTCCAATGACCTTTTGATATTTGAATTTCACACATCCCTGTCTTAGTTTGCATCCTCCAGAAGCAGTGGCTGAGACAAGGATTCAAGTGCAAGTGGCTTGATTGAGAAACAGTCATTCAGGGATCACCATTCAGGGACTGGAGAAGTAAGACAGGGAAGGAGGGAAGCCAATGGAGAGTGTATTATTGAACAAGTTACGACTGTGGGCAATTGGAGCTCAATGCCTCTGGGGAACTCTGGGAGCCAGTGTAGAATATACAGCTCAGAGTTTTTTCACTGGAGCAAAGGGAGTCACTGGTTGAGGGTTGCTGCAGGGAAGTGTTCATTCTCTAGCATTTCTGGCCTGCCATGTGTGTGGGCAGAGAGGGTCCAGTGATCAGGAAGCCTTCCGACAAAGAGTCATGGATGCTGGCTGTTGGAAGTCAGGTCACATGCACAGAAATATCACATGCTGATGGCATCTGCGTGGGGCATCCACAGCATCCGCTACAAGTTTCTTTCCTTCTTTGCACAGCTCATGAAATTTGCCTGCCTTCTAATCAGTGCGCAGAGACTGCAAGGTAAGCAAAGGGTTTCACTTGATCTTAGGTGATCATAGATGACCGATCTCATTTACATTCTGTTTAAGTATCCATGTTTATAATCAAAATATATCAAATTGCATAATATCCATACCACACACAGAATAAGATAACATACCTGGTTTTTTAAAAATAACTTCAGCGGCAAAATACATACTATTTTAACAGCATCCGAATTTGAGGGAGGTAAAAATATATTCCCTCTTATATAGTAAGATGGACGGAAACCAGAACAGAAAGCCCTGAACCCTTGGGGCTGCCCATGTAAACATTGTGAGGGCCTACGCTGCACTGAGGGAGTGGCTACTTGGTGTTGCCTATGGTCATTTGCCACCTTTTGTGATGAGCCTCCAATTGGGACACCTGGCCATTAGGTCCTTCCTAGTTATCAGGAAGCTAACCTGTTAGTCACTAAATTCACTGTACTGTAGTTTTCCTAGGGAAAAATGAGTGTTGATGCATGATGTATTGCAGTTATTTGAAAACATGCCTTAAGTTTTACATCATCTGTATCTTAATCCCCTTGGGCTGCCACAACAAATTGCTACAGACTAGGTAGCTTAGAAACAGCAGAAATTTATAACTCACAGTTCTGGAGGCTGGGAAGTCCAAGATCAAGGTGCTGACAGATTCAGTGTCTGGTGAGGGCTCACTTTCTCGTTCGTAAATGGTGCCTTCACGCTGTATCTTCACGTGGTGGAAGGGGCAAATAAACTCCCTTGAACTTCTTTCATCAGGGCACTAATCCCATTTACGAGTGGGTGGACTTAAGTGAGGAATGATTCACGCAGCCAACAAGACTATCAAATACCCACCACAATAGGTTGTTTTAAAGATGAGGAAACAGCCTTGAAGAGGTAGAGAAAAGCCCCATGTTCCATGACTGGTCAAGAGCAGAGCTAGGATTTGAACACAAGTCTTCTGATGGCCCAGCTCCTGCTGTGTTCTTTCCTTCTGCTCTGTCACCTCTGGTATGGGTCATGTCTGCTTTTGCTCACATACTTTGTAGAGGACAGAGCTATTAGAGAATAGGAGGTTTGGGGGAAGAGGGGAAGGAAAGGAGAGCCAGTGGGGGCTGTTGGAACAGGGACCCAACCCAGGGAGCCAGACTTGGTGGAGGCGGTCTCAGGACAACCAAGGACACTGAATCCACTCACTCTCCACTCTCCCTCCTCTCTGTTAATTGGTTTGAAGAGAAGTCTACATTAAAGAGCTGGAGGCTGATGAATTGTTGTCATGATTGTGGGAAGGAATGGATGCTCACAGGCGCAGACGGAAAAACAAAATGAATTGGCCTATCTAGATACTTCCCACGAAATGCTTTCAGTTCTACATTAATTCTAAGTTTATCTCTTAAGCATATTTGAAATATGGAGATAATCTTAGAATGGCACAATCTAGAATGTAATTTAGATAAGCTAAGAACCAAAAGAGAGGACCACATTGCCTTGTCTCTCAGGCCTGTGTGGGTCCGATTTAATGACTCCTGATGATATGAAGTTGAATTGGGCAGCAGATTGGACACATAGCTATAGTGCCAGCTATTCATGTTTAAAATGTCTTTTTAGACCAGGTGCGGTGGCTCACGCCTGTAGTCCCAGCACTTTAAGATGCTGAAGTGGGTGGATTGCTTGAGCCTAGGACTTCGGGACCAGCCTGGGCAACATGGCGAAACCCTGTCTCTACAAACAAACAAAAAACAACAACAACAAACAAACGAAAAGCAAAAAGCAAAACAAAAACAAAAACACCAAACCAAAAACCAAAAAAACGAGCTGGGTGTGGTGGCACACATCTGTAGTCCCAGTTACTCTGGAGACTGAGTTTGGAGGTTCTCTTGAGCCCTGGAAATGGAGGTTGCAATGAGCCGAGATCATGTCACTGCAGTTCAGCCTGGGCAACAGAGTGATACCCTATCTCAAAAAACACAAGTAAAAATAAAATGTCTTTAAATACAGTCATGCACCACATAATAACATTTTGGTCAGTGATGGATCATAAGATGCTGGTCCCATAGATCATAACGGAGCTGAAAATTCCTATTGCCTAGTGATGTAGCTGTCATAATGTTGTAGCATAACGTATTACTCACGTGTTTGTGGTGATGCTGGTGTATGAGGCTGGGCAAGGTGGCTCTGTCTGTAATTCCAGCACTTTGGGAGGCTGAGGTGGGAAGGTTGCTTGAGGCCAGGAGTTGGAGACCAGCCTGGGCAACACAACGAGACCCTGTCTCTACAAAATAACAAAAAAATCCAACTTACTATGTTGCCACATATAAAAGCATAGTATATACAATTATGTGCTGAACATAATACTTGATAATGATAATAAATGACTATGTTATTGGCTTATGTGTTTACTATACTATACTTTTTATTGATATTTTAGAGTGTACTTCTTCTACTTATTAAAAAAGGTTAGCTGTAGAACAGCCTCGGGCAGGTCCTCCAGGAGGTGTTCCAGAGGAAGACACTGTTATCATCAG